ACGGACCGCGAGATCGTGACCTGGCTGAAGTCGGACGCTTAACCGACTGCGCCACCCAGGCGCCCCGTTTTTGTTTTCTTCTAAAGAAAGGGCACATACTTGAGCAGGGAAGAGGGGCAGAGAGTGAATTTTTAAAAAATTTGTTAACGCTTATTCAGTTTTGAGAGACAGCATGAGTGGGGGAGGGACAGAGAGAGAGGGGAGACGCAGAATCCAAAGTGGGCTCCAGGCTCTGAGTTGTCAGTGCAGAGCTCCATGTGGGGCTCAAACCGATGAACCATGAGATCATGACTTGGGCGGAAGTCGGCCGCTTAACAGACTGAGCTACCTAGGCACCCCAGGAGAGGGGAGGGAGGGGGGCAGAGAGAGAGACACAGACAGACAGAGACAGACACTTACGAAGGCTTCACACTCAGCCCAGAGCCTGACTCAGGGCTTGAGCCCATGATCCTGGGATCATGATATGAGCAGAAATCAAGAGTCAGACACTCAACCAACCAAGCCACCCACCCAAGTGCCCAAGCTCCACTTTTTACACCTCTTACCTGGACCTAGGACCTGTAGAGTGCTTCCAGCCTTTCCAAATATTTAGTTACTTAATCCTGTCCTTTTTTTCTTTTTTTTTTTTTAATATATTTGAGTCTTTATTCAAAGTTTTGGGTTTTTTTTTTTTTTAAGTACTATCTACTCCCCCACTGTGGGACTCGAACTCACTGCCCCAAGATAGAGTCACGTGCTCCACTGACTGAGCTGCTAGCCAGGTTCCCAGTCCTACTACTTGGTAAATTATTTTGAGTCTCTTTGCTTTGCCTCTCAAACTAGGATGGGAGTGATGAGTGCTTTGGTGATGTAGAAGAAGACTGAGCAGTTGGGAGGTAGGGTTAGGACAGAGGCGTATTTATACATATTTATATAAGTTCCCTCTTACCTGTGGGGGTGCATTCCAAGACCCCCAGCGGAGGCCTGAAACCACGCATGCCTGAAACTACTGATGAAGAGTAACTAATGATAGAACAGTTACAACCTTTGGCTGTAATAAAAGTTATGTGGATGTGGTTTCTCTCTTAAAATGTTTCACAGGGGGTGCCTGGGTGGCTCAGTGAGTTGAGCGTGCGACTCTTGATTTGGGCTCAGGTCATGATCCCAGAATTGTCGGGATTGAGCCCCACGTAGCACTCTGTGCTGATGGTGTGAATCTTGCTTGAGGTTCTCTCCCTCTCCCTCTGCCCCTCCACCCCCTCTAAAATTAAAAAAAAAAAAAAAAGTCTGTAATTGTCTGTGGTGGTACTGTACTCGTCCTTTTTTTTTTTTTTAAACTGTTTATTTATTTTTGAGGGGCAGAGAGAGAGGGAAACAGAGAATCCGATGCAGGCTGCAGTCTCTGAGCCGTCAGCACAGAGCCCGATGCAGGACTCGAACTCACAAACTGCGAGATCATGACCTGAGCCGAAGTCAGACGCTTAACTGACTGAGCCACCCAGGCGCCCCTCGCCCTTCTTACAATGGTGTGAGATGATGAAAGGCGTGTCTGAGGAGCAGATGAGGAGAGGGACCCGGGGCATGAACCACAGTGTGAGGCTACCGTTGGCCCTTTGACCAAACCTCGGGAAGATCCATCTGCTTCCAAACCATTTGAATACAAAGTGTGTGCCCCATTTACGGGTGGAATTGGCTAGATTTTGGTTTTTTTTTCCCTTCCATCTTAGGTCAGTTTACTTCATTCTGTCGGTTGTAGGTCATATGCGGGTGGCGACCGTTCATGGGTGCTGGAGTAACCTGATCCCAGTTTCGACTGGAAGTTCTCATTACGCCTTTTCCTACCACACTACCCCACTTTGAAGCAGTGACCTGTGTTCTCCGCTTTTTCCAAATAGGAACTGTGAAATTTGGCTTTAATTTGCTTTTTTTGTCCAGTTGTGTTCTGGTTCTCAGGATCCTAAATTTAAGTCAAACCCGTTATAGAGACTCACTGCGGTGAGACTTCGCTTGCCTCCCTGAAACCGTGCAGAGAGAATTAGCTAAGTCCCGCCTTCAGGGAACACTCCAGAGGGGCATCTATATATGCAGCAATTTGTAGAGGAGATTTAGATATTTTTGCTTCGTGAGTCTGCTTGGCCCAGGTGTGTATTTGATATTACACACCAGCCAGTAGGCGACCGTAACATACTTGACATTCAGAGCAGATCAGTTAATACTTTCCCCCTCCACAGGGCAAACCTGTTTCAGTAGTAATTATGAAATGAAACATTAAAATAATGGCCAGTGCAGAGAGTGAATTTTTTCTTTGTTTGAATACATAACAGCAAAACATTTTTTAATAAAACTGTACAAAAAGAAATAATACATTTCACTAATGTACTTTTTTGAACTAAGGGGCAAACACATATGTACTTATTGTCTGTAAATGTATTATATCATAAATTTATATTTGGCAAAAACTCCCAAAGCTTTCTTTTGCAAAAATGAGATTAAATGACCAGAAAATAGCAGACATTGACATTCTTTGATCTGTTGCATTAGTGTGTGTCCAGTTCTTGGAGAAAATGAGGCAAACGTTGTCTTTGATTTCTCTGACCATAAAACCTAGCGTCTTTTGTCATTTCTGTAGCAGCTTTTTTTTTTTAGTGTGATTTTTTTTCTATATAAATAGCTTATTTCCTGACATTTTGTGGTTTAATCCTTAATGGCCCTTTTGATGATTTCTGTGTGCTGGTGGTCTTCAAGGAGTTCAGCAAGTTAACTTTCGTGTAATGCTCTTTATTAAGGAATAAGTAACAAACGTAATAACGTGAAGTTTAAATACATATTATGAAAGCATACAGCAATTATTTAGAAAGACCCAACAAAAGATCTTACAAGGCAAGAATATTGTCACTGACACTGTTGAGAACTGCAGGTGTAGAGTGGTCATCAAAAGCAGATTGTCTTTAATCCGTGTGATTGTGGTCTGCAACACGTGCAGACCACGTGGTTATTGTCTATATTCGGGACAGACTGCCTTGACTGTGTGTCACTTTCACTTGGTAAGTGACTGAGTACAATTCTCGCGAAACAAAGCTAGTTTTCTTCCTGCATCTGGGCAGAATTCCTTAGGTCTCCTTTGCAAAAATGTCTTCCTCATTCACTGAACGTTGAAATCACTCAGATGTTCATTCTGAGCCATCGCCTCTCTCTGTTTTCTCCCATAGATGATATTATCATAGATTTCTCTGGCTTTAAACTCCGTCCACATGCCAATACTGTCCATGTAGTTCTCGTAGCTTTGATTTCTTTTATCCTCACATCTGCATATCCTAGTATCTCCTTGAAGTCTGTCCACTAGGTGTCTCACAGATACGTCAGATTAAAGCAGAATTCCAGGTCCTCTGTACACGTCTTTCCCCCATCTTTCTCTAACTTGGCTGATGGGATCCTCCCAGAAATGCAAGCAAGAGACTTAGAAGGCCTGCTTAACATCCTTAACGACCCCCACCCACCCATCTGATTCATAACCCAGGCATGTGTAGTCCTTCTCCAAAATAAAACTTGAACGGGTGGCTCGTGCAGTTAAGCATCAGACCTCAGCTTAGGTCATGATCTCACCTTCATGGGTTCGAGCCCCACATAGGTGGCATATGTGCACACCGTTCACAGCATTATTCACGGCAGCCAAAAGGTGGAGCCAACTCCTGTGTCCATCAGTAGATGGATGGATAAACAAAATGTGTGTACGCACGGGAATATTATTCGGCCATGGAAAAGAATGGGATTTTTTTGGTATATGCTGTAATACGGATGGACTTTGAAAACATTGTGCTTAGTGAAAACCCCAGATGTGGAAGGACAAATACTGTTTGATTCCATTTATAGAAGATACCTGGAGGGGCGCCTGGGTGCCTCAGTCAGTTGAGTGTCCAACCCTCGATTTCGGCTCAGGTTCACGATCCCAGGGTTGTGGGATCAAGCCCCGCATCCCGCTCTGCGCTGAGTGTGGAGCCTTCTGAAGATTCTCATTCTCTCCCCCCCACTCCTTCCCTCTCCCCCTCTTCTTCCTCCCCTCCCCGCTCACTCTTGCTCTCTCTCGTGCTCTCTAGAATAAAATAAAAATAAAAACTTCAAAAAAAGGGACCTGGGATAGGCAAATGTGTAGAAACAGGAAGTAGAATAGAGGTTACCAGGGGAAGGGGGCAGTTACTGTTAATGGGCACCAAGTTTCTGTCGGGGATGATGAAATGTCAGGTATACATAGTAGTGATCTATAATGTCAATATATGCATGTATATTGAGTGTGAATATACCTACTGCCACTGATTGCACATTTATGGTGGATAAATTGGTTACAGTGGTTAAAATGGTTACATTTACAAATGACTAAAATGATCAACACTATATTAGTGTCTATTTAATGAAAAAGTTTTTTAAAAAAATAAAAAGGAAACCATGAAAATGGGAGTGGGGGAGGCTGGCAGGCTGGGTTTGGCTCACTGGCTGTACTTGGGGATTGTAAAACTTGTCAGTCTCTACTTACACTCATTTCACGCATGTTTTGATTGTAGTTCTTAGTGATGTCAGTGACTGTTTTCTGGGCCCTTTGATGTTCTTCAGTGTTCGAGCTGAGAACCAAGTCTGGAGCCTGAGGAAGCATTTCCTCATTTGACTTGTTTGCGTCCCCCCACAATTCAGACGTTCAAGTCCCCCAGTGTGATCTTATTTGGAGGTGAGGCCTTTGGGAGGTAATTAGGTTATGAGGTGGAGGCCTCACGATGGGATTGGTGCCCTTGAAAGAAGGGCCACGAAAGAGATGATGGCCATCTCTGCCACGTGACAGCAAGAAGGCTGTTTGCCAGCCGGCAAGAGCGCCCTCACCAGGAACTGAATTGGCTGACGCCTCGATCTGCAGAACTGTGAGCAATAAACACCTGTTTAAGCCTCGCAGTCTGTGGTAGTTGTGCTGTAGCGGCCGCAACCAGGACGGCTCTCTCACTAGAATAGAAGTTCCGTGAGGGCAGAGGCTTTGGTTTCCGGGGCCTTAGAACGGTGCCAGGGGCATAGGGAGGCCTCAGTTGATGTGTGTTGAACTGTGCAAGGAATAATTCAGCCTGTGACCCTTTAATCCAGGAGCCGAGCTGGCCGGCCACCTTCTGCCCTAGCCTCTCCCGAACAGTGGCTTCCTCAGAGCAGCGGTGATCATCAGCCTTGCTAGCATCCTTGTAACAGGAGCACAGAACATCCGTAAGAAACATAGCTCCCCTGCCCTTCAGAGCATTTCTGCAGCACCCGAAAGTTGATGGAGAAGTTGTGCCTCCATTGGAAGATTGGAAGGTGAAGGAGCGAGGACAGTGCTGGGAAGAAGTTAAAGAATCCGGTTGCGGTGCAGAGTCCTACCTAGCTTTCGAGCTTAGGATCATTAACCATGTCGCCTGGCCTTCCTGAAGGCATGCAGCTAGTTTTTCCCTAGGCTGCTTTGTCTGTAAAGAGGTGACCTGGGATATGTTGTCGAGATCATTCTCGGTCCGAACAACAGGCGGCTGGGCCTAACAGTGAAGTACACACACATCTGAGAGTTAGGCTTCCTGGGTTCACACCTGCCCCTTACCGGACTAGTTATCCCTGAGCCGGCTGCTTAGCGTCTCGGTGCCTCAGCCTTTTCTCCTGGAACGTGAACGAGCTCATTTGTCCACTTCCAGGGCGATAGTGCTGTAATTAAAACAGTGGCTCCACGTCAACATTCAGTGACATGTTGGCTGCTATTACTATTTTCTGATTCCTTGCAGTGATGAATAACATTTTCTAAGACGAAGCGTGGTGGGAGAAGAGAGACACTTAAAGTTTAAAAGTGTCCTGTTCTGTGCTTTTCCTCGCCAGGAGTGACTGAACATGATAATGACCAAAGGAATCGAGTAAAGCTACCCTCTGTCTGCATCTTGCCCACATACCCTGATGTCAGCCGTGTGTTTAAGCAGCTGAACATAGTTGTTCAGCAGTAACAGCAGCTGTAGGGTTTGGTTTGATTTGGTGTTTGGTCTTGTTTTTTAGCTGGTGGAAAGGTAAGAATTGAATAAGCCTGTTTTCACTTTGGAGAGTCCTTTGGTTACAGCTGTTTGTGAAGCATTTTGATGAAGAAGCAGAAATTTTCAGTTAGCAGGCATCTGGGGGCGCCTGGGTGGCTCAGTCGCTTAAGCGTCTGACTTCGGCTCAGGTCACGATCTCGTGGTTCGTGAGTTTGAGCCCCGCATGGAGCTCTGCGCTGACAGCTCAGAGCCTGGAGCCTGCTTTGGATTCTGTGTCTCCCTCTCTCTCTGTCCCTCCCCCGCTCACGCTCAGCATGTCTCTCTCAAAACTAAGTAAACATTAAAAAAAAAAGTTATACCTCAAGGGTTCACACCACAGGTGGAAATACATCAACTGTATTTTGTGCATCAGGTGATCTTTATGGCATACAGGGCATCGTTACAGCAGAGAACAGAATTGGAAGGATGAATTAAGAAATTGATGGTCGTTGAGGTTTGAGATGAGGGTAGGAGCTACCTTGATGGCCATGGGGCAAGGGGAGAAGACCTTTCAAAAATCAGTAGGATTTGCTATCTGGGATGTAGGATATTAACGACGGGGGTCAGTATTCCTTATTTTTTTAACCTGTTGGACTTGTGACGATAAGCCCTATGAGTAGAGGTGTGCATTCTTGGAACGTGTATTTATCGGGGGCCAATTATGCACAGACTGAACAAGGCCCTGGGATCAGAACTGACAAGCATCCCCGTCCTTGTGGTCTAGCGGGAGAAGCCGACAAAAAGCATAGTGCTGTCATTCTGAACTTGCACGAGCACGGGCCACAGGGTTGGGGTGAAGGGCTGGGAGTCCTTAGAGGAGCTGAAAGGCCATCAAAGCCGGAGCAAAGAGTACGGGGATAGCAGCAAGAACTGGTGGGGCTGGAGTGGGAGGCGGGAGGCCAGCTTCAGGGCGAAGGCTGGGGCAGGAGCTTCCAGTCCGCGGGGCCGCTTCAGGGGTGCGTGTAGGGTAGACAGAGAGCAGAAGTCCGAGAGGTGGAGGGAGGAGAAGCCAGTTCCAGAAGTGGGAGCAGCCCCAGGCAAGTGGAGGCGGAGTCAGGAATGGAGACTATCCCAGACCAGCTAAGACGGCCACACTAGCACAGAGGTTTGGCATCGCAGATTTTGGTGACCTTCAAGCAGAAACGGGATTTCAAGAGATGGAGGAGGAAGCCTGGGTGGCTGAGACACGAGGCTTAGCGGCTGTAAATCAGCCGCGTCAGAAGCTGCTCGCGAAAGCCCTTTTTGTAGTTCTTTAACGTATTTGCCCACGCATACATTTTTGCTCCACTAAAAATAATCTTCTGGCGTGTTTCAGATGAAAAAAAAGATATTGACCATGAGACAGTGGTTGAAGAGCAGATCATTGGAGAGAACTCCCCTCCTGATTACTCAGAGTATATGACAGGAAAGAAGCTTCCTCCTGGAGGGATACCCGGCATTGACCTCTCAGACCCCAAACAACTGGCGGAATTTGCTAGGTAAGACGGAAGAACTTGCCTTGCTTTTTAATGGTACAAAGTGCTTGAGTGTCGGCAGCTGTGGTTTTGGTGCCTAAGTTACAAGGGCGGTTTGTATTCTTGCTCTAGGGAAATGTCTGAAAACAAAAGCAGTTAGTTTTATTTTGAGTAGGAACTATGCTATTAGTGTGAGTGGCACCATTTTAGATCCTTGCAGGCAGTGAGATGCAGCGAATACTTCTTAATTTCATAATTGATACTGCCTGTGAAAAAACTGCACATAATTTGTTTGGAAGCCGCTGTCTTAACACAACTCCCCCCCCCCCCCCCCCCCCGCCGCCGCCCGGCATACATTGTAAATTTGAGGGTATCGTGCCGGACCCAGCTGCAGGGGCCCTGGGCTGCTTCTAGACCTGCGCAGCTGGCCACTGGGAAGGCACGTCCGTTCGTACTGCAGCACGCCATCAGTTAAGCTCCCAGTGTTTTGTTAATTAAAGCTGGCATGACAGGATGAGATCAAGCATTTTCAGGGCCAGGACCCCCCGTGACCGTCCAAGGTGAGCAGTCAGGACGATCTGAACCCACTGCAGGTTTGTCTTGTCCGAGACGGGCTGGGTTCCCACAGAAGCCTCTGCCGCTTTTCATGTTGTTTATTTTCCAGTGCCGTTTGGCAGTCGTTATGAGGATGTGAGAACACACTCAAAGACAAACTTGTAAATAAAGTGAAAAGAACTCATAAACTCTGGAGCAGAAGGACTACTTCTTTTCCCAACCTGAGGGTGAATGAAGCCTGGAATAGCCAGGAAATTTAGTTAGGCAGGGGCAGGAACAGGAAGAGAGAAATCTTTGTGATCCCACACCATCTAGGAACAGAACGGGGCCCTCTCTTTTCTTTCTCCTGAGAGCAGAGGGGAGTAGATAAGAGCTGGAGGCCCTGGAATGTCCTCGTTTCTCCCAGCCCTGCCGAAAACAAGGTGGGTAACCTCCTGCCATTTGGGGCCTCAGTTTCACCACGTGTCAAGTATTTTGTCAAAAAGGGGTTTGTGCCCTTTTGTCCTATCCTGTGAAACTGCAGTCATGGAGAATTATACACATTAGCTTATTTCTGACTGATCACGGCTTACCCAAAAAAGTTCAGGCTTCTGTCCTCATTGAGGACACTTTGTCCCGGCTTTTGTTGCCTTCATATTTTAAATACTGGTATGTTACTCAAATATTAACTCCATACTTTCCCCAAAAAAAGCAAATAAAAATGGAGTCTGTAGATACATAGCAATGAGATTAGAGTATTTGGACAGATTTGAGTCAGATTTCTTGCCAGTGTTTAGTATTGTCAACGTATTTTTAAAGTTAGTCACATCTCATTACTGCACTTGGACTTCAGTGAGGATAGGGGCTGCTCTCTCGGGTAGAGACACGGAGCATAGGAATCATGGAAAGCTTGTAGAAGGAGTGGCATGTGATCTGAGCCTTGTAGACGCTCAGATTTGGTGGGCAGACGGGGTTTCCTCGGGACTGATGGCTGGTGTGGCATGTGCACAGTGGAAGGTGCGTAGTCAGCCCTCATCCACTCTGTGTTCAGAAAAATAGGTTTGGCTGGGAATTCAGATGCTCACAGGGAGGCAGTTGGAGTTTAAGAGATCGTTGAGCTCTGTGAGTACTGGGCCAACGTATGTGGACATTTTCAGCGTGAAGCGGGCGGGGGCCAAAGGTGTGTGAACAGTACAGAAGGGGCTCTGTGATCAGAGGTGGACTTGGAGAGGATTCCATTTCAGCCGTCTCCAGGCTGGCTTGGTGCAGGTGCAGCCAGCAAGAGGGAGAGGTCACGGAGGCCCGAGCCAGGACTGTGGCGGCCAGACTATGAAAGAATCGATGTGATCAATGTGGCAGGGGATGGTGGAAAAAATTGAGAGCCAGTCCGGCTGTGTGTCTCAGCGAGAAAGGAATCAAAATGGATGTTCAAAGCTTTGCACCTTAGGTGACAGGAGATTGGGAGAGGGTGCCGGTCTGGGGTTCAGGGTCGGCAGTGTTTGGTTTTAGATGCTAATGAATCATCCCTGTTGGACTCGAGGTGGTTTCAGGAAGTAAGTTAGGGCTAGACTGCTCTGATGCGGGGAGGGTGAAGCCGGAAGGTGCCTCGGACGGATGTGCCGTGAGAGGGTGGTTGCTGAGAGGAAAGACCGCAGCACAAAGGCTCGGGAAAACCCTGTGCCCGGAGGGTAAGGGAACCAGTGACAGCCGAGAGGGCCCGTTCGTGCAGATAGGGGGTGGATTGGGAGAGTAAGGACAGCGTCACAGAAGCCTCTGGGCTGGTCAGAAGGTCTGAGAGAGGGACAAATGACATTTCTCTAAGTTCGACATCACGAAGTATTTCAGTGGAGGAGCAGAGGGTAGGCAGGGTTTTACGGAGAGAAGGAACCTGGGGCTGTTGAGCAGAACAGTGACCCTCGGCCTTGTTCCTTCTCGCTGACGAATTGGGGTAGCTGATCTGAAAGCTCGGCCCTATACTCAGGAGGCCCGTGTCACTGTTGTGGAGTAGACGTTTCTGCTTGTTTTCATGTGGCCTTGCCCGGGCATCAGGGCTGTCTTCAACCCCACGAAATCGGAATGAGACTGTTCTTCACCAGCAATAATTAGAAGACAATGGAGGCACGTTTTGCGATTTGTGAGGACAAGTTACTACAGACCTGGAATCCTTGATCCAGCCGAGCTGCCAGTCAAATACCAGGCAAAATAGTGGCGATTTTAGACACGGAAGGATTTGTTTGATGTTGCACGCACCCTTTCTGAGGGGGTCACCTGCAGATCTACTCCAGCACATCCAAAGAAGCCTTCCTAAAGAATCTGGTGAACAGACAGTCAAGAAGGCAGCTGTGAGGCAGGCTGGAAACACGTTCAACTCAGAATAGAAAGTTGGGTGAGTTGTAACAGTTTCTTCAGGAAAAGTTGAGTTCATTCCGCAGTGGGAATGGAGAATGGGTAGGAGGGGAAGCCAGGAGATGTTAGTGGTACGGGAAAGAGTTTTCTAAAAAAGGAAGATAATCAGAAACCCCCTGAAGAGAGAGGCAGTGCTAAGAAAGCCATGGCCTAAAAATGGGCATAAATTTGATAAAGTGCAGAGAACGTGTTTGCCCCGACTCTGCAAGTCTCTCTGCGTCCTGAAGCCCCCGCGTTGGGCCCCTCGAGCAGGAAATGCGGTCCTAGTGCACAGGTACGTTCTGCAGTAGGCAGTGTGTGTATGTAATCTGAATATAGTGTGTTTCTTTGCTAATGAGCCTGTTAAAGATTTCATTCTGTGTGCGGAATAGAATGAGATCTTGCTCTTCCTGACGGTGTATACAAAGTGGGGGTATACGGTTGGGTGCACGCTCATCCCTGTTGTCCATAGTGTCGTGGAACAGGTCATGTCAAGCCTACCCAGTCTCTAATTGGACGGTGGCGGTGGTGAGAGATGCTGGAGCCTGGAATGCCCTATTTTGTTAGGTCTTTGCGTTTTGAGAATGGGTGTGACCAGCTGCTGAATAGGGTTCTTCAGGGGCCCTGGCACTGGGGACGGGGGCTCTGAAAGCCAAAGACAGAAAGGCACCAAGTTTCCAACTGTCGGTGGCCAGACCCCATCGTCTTCATTCGTAAAGACCCACAGAACTTGCTCTGCTGGCCTCCCGTCTCTATCCACCTCCACTCTGTGACTCAGCTGTTGGCTTGAGGCGGCGTGTTCGCTGCTTTTCCCTCTCCTGCGTGCGCCCTGGACCTGAAAACTGAGCGAGGAATGGTTCGGGTGCCCTGCCACACCGAGCCTAGAAAACCGGTCAGTGGTAAATCGGTTACACGCGTGGGAGCAAGTATAAGAAATCAGGGCTTTAATTTGAAAGTCCTGGTATTGGGGCGGTGCCTTCGTTCTTTTTGATACTTGAAAAAGTGGTCGGTGGGTGGCACCGGGCGAGTTCCACTTCCTGGTGAAATCAGACAAGCTGTGTGCCCTTTTCATCAACTAAAGTTAGCCCTTGGGAAACCCGTAGTCTAGAAAGAGCAGAATTAAGAGCGGTTAGGTCAGTCCCAGGTTGGTCATTTTTGTCGTTGTCCACTCCCACCCCGAGACTCCTTCATGGGGTCAGCGTAGAGAGGAGATGTGCTAGTGGGGCCGAGAGGACCATCGTGGGAATATGTACCGTCTGCTTCGCTCATCTGTCTGGGGCAGCGGTATTCTCTGCACCGGGAAGGGAGGGGAGCTGCGGCTGTGGGTAGAGCCATGCCCGGGGGCCTTCCGACCCAGCCCCACCAGCACGGTCACCCGTCACTCACGGTCACGGTGGGGGTTCTGGTCTGGAGGCGACGAAGCTTGTTTGGCAGCAAACGGGCTGATTTTCATTCAAGAATCGGCTCCTTCAAAAACGCTTCATCTTGGCTTCTGGGGCAACTTAGAACTTTGGCGGTTTCCCCCTGCTGAAAATTGTGCCAGGAAACTCCTGCCGGTTTTGGCCCCGGAGTCCAGGCTTTACCGTGTTGTTCCCTCCACGTGTGCGGAGTGAGCTGGTGGGAAGCCGGCGGCCAGGCCACCGGGAGCCCGGGCCCCGTTTTTATAACAGAGCAAGAAGCTTCTCTTGTTGGCTGCCTGGCTCCTGCTTGTAATTCGCAATACATTGAAGGCGCCTTTCTGTTTGTGCCATTTTTCTCCAGTCTCTCAGCCCTTCAGTTGAAAACGGGGGCTTAGAGCACCAGAACCTTCTGGGTTGTTGAGTCTGACTGGCTTTTTTTTTTTTTTTTTTAAAGGAACGAACTCATTTTTAGCTAGGCCCACTTAGCACACAGCCGGGGATAATAATAGCTGCCATTCCCCCAAGAGCTTCGTGTACATCATCCCTTTCAGTCTTGGCAGCTCTAAAGCAGGTAGCATTCTGCCTTTTTACAGAGTAGGAAACTGAGGCTGAGAAGTTCAGTGATTTGCTCAAGGTCACGCGGCCATAGGAGTCCCCGCCAGGTCTGCCCCCGTTCTGGCTCCGCCACAGCGCCTAGCCACCGTCCCTGGTGTCCTTTGCAAAGGATCCCAGTCAAGCAGAAACTCCAGTCCTGGTTATTCTGAGCATTTGGGACGGGCTGAGGAGATGTTCTGAGTAGCAGCATAGGATTTTAGTCTTTTTAAACTTTGTTCTTTTTTAGGATTTCAGCCACTTTATTTTGTAGGTTTATATATCAGTTGGTGCCACGAAGATTTTAATTTTAGTCTTTATTTGCGCATGCGCACACACGCACACACACACAAATACTTTTCAATCTAGGTTTTGGAAAATGACCTTTTCAGTGTTTGCCTTCAAGTAAAATATAAAAGGTACCAACATTACTGCCTCATTTGCCACTCTGTAGTGAAGAAGGAGGATTTGCCAAGGAACTTAAGAGTGGCCGCAGTTAAGCCTTCCACTTCCTTCTTGAGTCCAAGGGTGTTTGTCCAAGTACATTTTAAACTTTCATTCTGAAATCAGTGATACTGCTAAATGCTGGCACACATTTTGCAAATGACATTTTAAGAAGAATACCATTTTGATAATGGTAATAATGACATTTAAGAAATCGAGAGTTTGGTAAATGGTACAGGGTACTATGCTCTTTAATTTAGTGTATATTTGAAAATTTCCATGATCAACATTTTTTGAAAATCAAGTTCCTAGGAATAAATTTTTTTTTTTAATTTTTTTTTCAACGTTTATTTATTTTTGGGACAGGGAGAGACAGAGCATGAACGGGGGAGGGGCAGAGAGAGAGGGAGATACAGAATCGGAAACAGGCTCCAGGCTCTGAGCCATCAGCCCAGAGCCCGACGCGGGGCTCGAACTCACGGACCGTGAGATCGTGACCTGGCTGAAGTCGGACGCTTAACCGACTGCGCCACCCAGGCGCCCCCCTAGGAATAAATTTAAGAAACTGTATGGAAGGTAGCATGGGCACACCCGTCCTACTGATGCAGGCACCTCACTGACATTGACCCCAGATGGGTGGGACAGGAAGTGGTTGTCTGTGACTTAATCTGTCAGAGTCAGTTTATTAACGTAATTTGCATAGAGTGAAATCCACCCTCTCTTAGGTGAGTGCCACCTGAGAGAATTTGGACAGGCGCAGTCATGTAGCCACTTCCGCAGTCGAGACAAAGAGCATTTCAGTGCAGTCGTCAAAGGATGAACATTATAAAGACTGAAGCTTGGTTCTTAATAGACCCTTTTTTATTTTTAATAAAATACTACTGACTGGAGTAGAACCCTTTTATGTGAATCACTGTTGTCTTCCGAACTCTGCTGTTACCTCCAGGTGGCGCAGTGGCACCAAATTTCTGTTCTCCTTAGTTCTGCGAGCTCGTTCTTGAGCTCCAGGATTTAGTGGTGTTTAAGATAACCGGATAGTTCAGAGCCCTGTATACAAACAGGCACTTAGAAAGTATCTGCTAACTGATGGGGTGATCTTCCAAGTCCAAGAAAGAACGTGTTTTCTACAGGGTTGGAAGGGGGGCGGGTACCAAGATGAAAATGCTCTGCTAGAATTTAAAGTGGGAAGGGTATGCGGCTTTGAACAAACTCCTTAGAAGTAAATTACACATCACTTCTCGGGCCTTTTGGCTGAGATCAAGTGAAGTGTAGAAATAAGTCACAGCCACCAGGTAAATTGTTTCAATGATGCTCGCCCAGGGATGGAGAGTTTTAACTAGGTGACTATGTGAGTTCAGGTTTTATCAAGCGGAAGCTCCAGGTCGCCCTTTTCCCAGACCGAGGGTGAAGAAGGGTATTGTTAGGGCCTTGGCTAACTTAAAGAAGACCACAGAGATCTTTTGTACCGAAAGAGCGCTGGTAAGTTAGCTCTTCTTGGGAAGGCCTCACTGACTTTGTTGCTTACCTGTTAACTGTGTGTCCTCACCTAGGAGCGTGAGGTGACAGACGTAGGGACAGGAGAGAATGTCTGTTTCAGACATGTAAATCTGTTTTTCTAGTTTTTCTAGGAACTCTTAATCTCTCACCCCTCTACCACACACAGATCTGTAGGGAGTATTTGGAGAGAGAGTTTTGACAAAAGACCAGAGGTTGGTTCAGTGGAAATAGCAGGTAGGTAAGCTATCAAATCAGCGAGCTCTCTGGGTAGTGACTCCGCACAGGGCTCTCCCCGCTGCCCACGTACGTGATCAGGCCTCTTGTTTTACCCGGTCCCGGAGCAGGGCCAGAAATCGCGGTCGCTTAAAAAAAAAAAAAAAATGCACTTATTTTTTTGAAAAATGGTCATCTCCCCCCCACCGCCACCAAAAGTAGTATGATAAAAATTAAACATTGGGAAAGGGAAAGGGAAAGGGTATGGGGTGTTCCCGCCTGGCCACCAGGGGCTCCCATAGGAACCCATAGGGGCTTCTCCGTCAAGCCTCGGGACCAACAGTTTGTTACTGTGTCTCTTTCCAGAGATAATGTAAGTAATTCTGTTTACAAGAACTGTTCTGTACCTTTTAAAAAAGTATTTTAGAGATAAGGCCCGTCAGTATGAAATGAACCCTCCCTCCCTTTTTTTGTAGCGGTATGGGAGGGATGTATGTCCCAAGACCCTCCCATACCTGCCGCTTCCTTTTCACAAGGCAGCTTTACCATCACAGCTGCTGCTCCTGGACACCATGCTTTGCTCCCGCCAGGAGATTCCTCTGTGGTCTGGGCCGGTGGTCTCTTGTGTTATTTAAAGAGCTTGAAGGAAAGAGCAGGTACTGGAAGCACCCTGACCTCAGGGCCGGTCCGTTCCGAGCTGCCCCCGCTCACTCGCTGGGAGACCCTGGCAGCGGCCCCACCTCCGCGAGCGCCAGCTTCCGCATCTGTGAAATGGGAAGGTGCTTCCCGGTCACGGGTGCTCGCTGCGGTGGTCGCATCCCTTCCCTCCTGGACGCGTGTTGTGATCTTAGTGGTTTGTATCTATAAGGAAAACATTTCAGGGGCTATATGATTTATGCCAGATGAGTCTACCCACTCCTACAAATCTCTTTCTCTCTCTTCTTTTTTTTTTTTCTTTTTTTTTTCTTTTTTGGTAAGAATGAAGCCAAGAAAAATTAAAGAAGATGATGCTCCAAGAACAATAGCTTGCCCTCATAAAGTAAGTAATGCTAGGGGGAAGGTCTTCGTTAAACTGCCAGCAAAGATTTAGAGAGCTCCTGAGAAATCTGCACTTTAATTTCCATCTGATAATTAAGCGAGGAACTACAATCTTTGGTTTCTAAATTCAGGAGGCTCTATTTGTGATGTAAGTTTTGTTGTTCAGTAAAGGCCACTTAAACGTAAATGGTATTAAATGGGGTTACTGTAGGGTGCCAATGTTTTTACTCTTATTATATATTGAATATGCAGTGTTAGGATTTTATTTCTCCTTACTGGATCATTAACAAGTCAGTCTTAAGACTTTGGATTGTGTCTCACCCGCGGACCTTTATGGGACTGTAAACTCATTGTGGAAATTTGGAAATTATTTTGGATGTCACTAAAGCAAACCTAATAAACTTCATATCCTGCACAATTTTCTTAATTTACCCTGTCAATTGTGTGTTACTCGAGGGGTGCTTAATTGTTTTCAAATGTGGTTAGCCTTCCAAACAGAAGGCCGGTCTAAAAAGTCCTTGGAGGTGTTGGCTGGGTGTGTTTCACACCTAATTGGATGGATGGAAAACTAAACAGAGAAAGAAGTACCACCTAGGCGAAGAGAAAGAAGAGAGAAATGTTTAATGGAATAAAGAATTTTTTTTAAAGATGAACAGTTGGAGGAAGAGAAGTCTCAGTTGGTCCTTGTGTTGACCTGCCGGCTTCTTTGCGTCCTTTTTTTAACGCTCTCACCGTGGAGATCCTGAAATGGGAAACTATTTCCTTTGGGGCCAAAAAGCAAATAAGCATTTGAAAACAGTTACGCCTTCCGAGCCTGTCGTCCCCTCTAACTTCTCTGTGTCCTTCTTTTCCAAATTACGTTTTTGAAAATCCCATCTTCTAAATGGAAACCCAGACTGAGGGTCAAAGGGGAAAAGCTGTGGCTCTCCCCTCCCGGGAAGACCCCGGTGTGCTGTCTGCCCACCCCACTCCTCCATCCCTGGACAGCAACTGCAGAAGAAACTGCCAGGGCCGCGAGGCCATGCTTCTCGGGAGCACCGCGTGCCCGCCCGCCTCCCCCCCCCTGCCCTGGTGCCCGCGCGCCCGCTTCTCTTCTGGTGTCTCACCAAGTCAGTTTCTTCTGTAGTTGTCATTCCTTGGAGACGCTCTTCTTTCTCTGTCAAGAAAGGGGAAGAGGCAAAGAGAGAAGAGGGAACAGTGGGCGACGGAGGACAGCCCATTCTTGCAGCACAGAATAAGGGGCCCACCCAAGGTCGTGGTGGACAGCCGCCAGTTCACCTCCTTTGGTTTATCAGGGCTTGTGTTACTTCGTCGGGGTGGGGGTGGGGGTGGGGGTGGCCTATCAGGTGAGGCGGCTGCGGTGTGGCCGGAAGCCAGGGTGCTGGGTTCTATTCCCAGCTCGGCTCCTACTAGCGGTGTGACCTTGGGCAAGTCTACCTGAAGACATCTCTGAGCCTCAGTTTCCTCCTCTGTAAAACAAGGGTTTGCATTAAATGAGAAGGCCCTTTCCAGCTATCTGGTTTTTTGTCTTAAATGATATAACATTTCTGTTGTAATACTAAGTAAAATTTAAGGGGGGGCGTTGGGGGGTTACGTGGTTTCTTGTATCAGTGAAGGCTATTAAGCGGTTGGATCCTTTGTAACAGCTGCAGTGTGAACCACTAAGCTTCTCTCTCTGTTCGAAGGGCTGCACAAAGATGTTCAGGGATAACTCTGCCATGAGAAAACATCTGCACACCCACGGCCCCAGAGTCCACGTCTGTGCAGAATGTGGCAAAGCTTTTGTTGAGAGCTCAAAACTAAAACGACACCAACTGGTTCATACTGGAGAGAAGCCCTTTCAGGTAGAGCCAGTCCCTTCCCCTTCCACGCCGCCTGCAGGTGTAGGCAGGGCCGTGGGTGCTCGGGAGACGCAGCCCAGAGACCGAGCGCTCTGAGTACTCTTCTGCGGGAGACGAAACTGGTGTCCCGAGGAAATACTGAGAAGGGCTGCCTGGCTCTCGACTTCCCCACAGGCCGGATCTCAGGTCCTGGAGGCGGGCTGTAGGGTGGGGGTGGGGTGGGGGGGGTTTGAGGGGGCCTATTTCACCTGCAGAGAAGAACAGGATTGCTCAAGTAAGCCTAAAACTGCATTGCTAGTGCGCTCACGGTGGTGTGCAAGCAGTTTGTTTTCTGTGGTTGATTTAAGCATGTTGAGTTCCTAATCGACCAGAAACTCACGGCATCTTACTGGACGAGAATAAGGATAGTTAACGTTTTGTCTTGTCTTTTAGAAACCCGTGACCAGTGAACGAACTAGCAATACAGCTCTAACGGGTTTTTTTTTTTTTTTTTTTTTTTTTTTTTTAACTTTTTTTAATGCTTATTGAGCACAAGTGGGGGGGGAGGTGGGGGCAAAGAGAGCGAGACTCAGAGTCTGAAGCAGGCTCCAGGCTCTGAGCTATCAGCACAGAACCTGATGCGGGGCTCGAACTCCCAAACCATGAGATACGACCTGAGCCAAAGTCAGATGCTCAACCGACCGGGCCACCCAGGTGCCCCTTATTTAACTTTTATTTAAGTAATATCTGTACCCCATGTGGGGCTCAAACTCACGACCCCAAAACCAAGAGTCACATGCTTTTCTGACAGCCAGCCTGGCATCCCAACAAGGTGCTTTTTGACGCTTGACACCAGAACTCTTCCTAATCATTTGTTTATTTAATGTTGGTTTAGATTAGAGAGACAGTGAGCTAGCGGGGGAGGGGCAGAGAGAGACGGAGACAGAATGCGAGGCAGGCTCCAGGCTCCGAGCGGTCATCACAGAGCCCGATGCTGGGCTCAAACTCACACGAGCCGTGAGATCATGACCTGAGCCGAAGTCAGACCCTTAGCCACCTGAGCCACCCGGGCTCCCCTCATTTGTATTTTATTATTTGAAACATTGACAGAAATACGAACACCTTACCATGATACCGAGGGAGATTCTTGGTTTTTCTCCTCCCTCGTACTGAAATAAGTCGTGAGGTGGGTTCAGGAGTTACCCTGTGACGGGACGGGCACGCTTCCCCAGAACAGGGAGGGAACGGTGTCTGGTGAGGGGAGCGGGCTGTTCTGTGGCGCAGCAGCCAGCTGCTCGCGCCCTCGGGGCCTGGTCAGAGTCTGAGCGGGTTCTCTCTGGTCTCTCCTGGACAGTGCACGTTCGAAGGCTGCGGGAAGCGCTTTTCACTGGACTTCAATTTGCGCACACACGTGCGCATCCATACCGGGGACAGGCCCTACGTGTGCCCCTTCGACGGCTGTAATAAGAAGTTTGCTCAGTCGACTAACCTGAAATCTCACATCTTAACACACGCTAAGGCCAAAAACAACCAGTGAGAAGAAGAACGGAGAAGACCCTTCTCGACCCCGGGGAGCATCTTCCAGGAGTGTGATGGGGAATAAAGACGCCTCTCCTTTGTATATTGTTTCTAGGAAAGAATTTTAAAAATGAATCCTACACACCTAAGGGACATGTTTTGATAAAGTAGTAAAAATTAAAAAAAAAAACAAACTTTAATAAGATGACATGGCTACGATGCTCTGTCTTGCTCTGTAATCTCGTTTCAAAAACACGGTGTTTTTGTAAAGTGTGGTCCCAACAGGAGGACAATTCATGAACTTCGCATCAAAAGACGATTCTTTATACAACAGTGCTGAAAACGGGACTTCTTTTCACATTCTTATAAATACGAAGCTCACCTGTTGCTTACAATTTTTTTAATTTTGTATTTTCCAAGTGTGCATATTGTACACTTTTTGGGGATATGCTTAGTAATGCTACGTGTGATTTTTCTGGAGGTTGATAACTTTGCTTGCAGTAGATTTTCTTTAAAAGAATGGGCAGTTACATGCATACTTCAAAAGTATTTTCCTGTAAAAAAAAAAAAAGTTCTATAGGTTTTGTTTGCTATCTTAATTTTGGTTGTATTCTTTGATGTTAACACATTTTGTATAATTGTATCGTATAGCTGTATTGAATCATGTAGTACCAAATATTAGATGTGATTTAATAGTGTTAATCAATTTAAACCCATTTTAGTCACTTTTTTTTTCCCGAAAAATACTGCCAGATGCTGATGTTCAGTGTACTCTCTTTGCCTGTTCAGTTACAGAAAGTGGTGCTCAGTTGTAGAATGTATTGTACCTTTTACCACCTGATGTGTACAGCCCATGTAACGGAAAGGGCAACAATAAAACAGCAATCCTACAGAAAGAATACGGCAGAAAAAGCTCTGTAAGCACAGTCTTCTTTCCTTTTGTTGTCCAGAATAATTCCAATTCTTGAGCCTCCCAGAAATCGGAAGCCAAATAAAGCAACTGAAGTTTCCTTTACTTTCGCGCTCAGCTACGGTGACTGGTGATTGGAGCAGCACATAGATGTTTTGGTCCTTCCTACGCGTGCTGAGCTCCGAGAGCGAGTAGGTGACAGGCATCCCGAGTTAAGGAACTACCTCAGAGGACCCCCAGCCGGACCCGTGGGAGATAGGATTTTGATTTTTAGCTCCCCCAGCAAAAGCGTGGCTGAAACAGTTGTGCCCCGGCCTGCGTGCGCGCTCCAGGTAAGCTGGCGACCAGGCGGGGCGCGAGCAGAGGGGGCAGCGGGCGCCTCTGCGGCTCGGGAAGCGCTTCCGGTTCTTGGCTGTTGGCTTGAGAGCCTTGGCTCCCCCATCCGGTGGGGTCTTCGCACGCTGGCAGATGCAGCAGTTGAGTGCCCAGCGGCTTATTAACGTCACGCTTCCAGCCGGGTACCGAGTGCAGATTGGCAGGGTGGTGCGATGATTAAGAAAGTTGTACTCAGTGAGTACTTGACCTCTCACGTTGTGACCTCCTAAATGTACGATTATAATTTTTGAATTTTACTTCGAGTCCCATATCGGGCTCGTGAGAATGTTTTATAAACCGCCGAGATGCAGCAAAATCCCATGTATTCAAAATGCAAACACACCGGGTGTCTCTGTGCTGTAGGCTGGACTCTGCAAGGTAACTGACAAACTAGCTAATGCCTGAGATTTATTTACAAGATGTCCAGGACACCATCGGGTCCAAGATGTAGCCCTGTCTCTTCCACCTTCTCCATCGGTCCCGCACAGGAGGGCTGGTGACCTAATGACAGTGACCCTGTGGCTCTCCAGAACTTTGAAGTGCCTTCTGAATCATGAAATGAAAATTTTAACTTCAGACGCTTTGTTTTATTCGTTCAGAATCTGTTATCCATTGGGTAGTTTGATGGAAGTGAGTTAATGAGAAGACCCCAGCTGTCCTCTGGATAAGCCAGGCTTTGCTGTATCTGGCAGGAGAGAGGTAAGCCCGCGGTGGAGGTCCCCTTCAGAGCCGCGCGCCCCGGCGCGCGCGCGGTTCTTTGGCCAGACCTGGGGCCGAGGCCTCTGCCGAGGCCCGTGGCGGAAAACGCCCACACCTTCCCTCCCCACCCTCAGGTGAGCAGTCTCTGGGTGGCCGTACCAAATGCCACTCTGGTGGGGTGGCCGTGTTAGGAGTCTGGAGCCTCGTCCCCTCCACCCCCACCCCGCCCAGCGCCACCACACGGGAGCCTGGTGCCCGCGCTGTCCTCAGGACTTCCGCCCGGGGACCCACGGCAAGACAGACTTGTGTCGCGCCAGCAACCCCAAGAGCCACGCCGTGACCTACAGGGAAGCCAGGCTCCCACGTGGAGCGAGGTCCCCCCCTTCCTCTGTGCCTTGATCCTTGGGGGATGCCTCGGTCATCTCTTGCGCCCCTTTCGTCTCTGAGTGAACCGTCGTCGCTCCCCGGGACTCTTTGCCCGTGTGTCACCTCTCAGTCTGCAGAGTTCATTGCTGACGGGAATTTGATTGGGGGTTTGAAGACCACGTAAGGTCCCAAGTTGGCGGTAACCTCTGTTCCCAGTAGTGTAGGAAACGAATCAGCGAGTGGCGGTGTTAAGGGTAGCTTGTTCTCATTGGCTGGAACCCAAACCCGTTTTGCTTGTGGTGAGAATTTATAATTTTGCTAAAGATGTGATTTACTAAAATTGGAAGTGGTGTTCTAACAGTGAGTCACTTGTCTTGAGGATTAATCTGATTTATAAGTAATACCGATAGACCTATTTTCTTACATCCCAGCGGAAACAAATGCACGTTTCTAGCGTATGTAATATAAAAACTCCAGAGGATAAGTTTACACTTTACAAGAAGTTGTTTTCTATTTTTGGATTTCTTATTATTTCCCCCCCTTTTTGGTAGTGGGGCTCAGGGGGAAGCGTAATATTTGTATAAAGAACTGTCACCCCAGAGTGACCTTTATTTTCCAAGGTGACATTGAACTCACGCTGTTGGTTTCACATGGTGTTTGTGTGCTGTGCCTAGATTCAAGGCCTGAGGATTTGAGGAAAATCAAGATTTCCCCCGCCCCGGGGCCCCCATTCGGTTTTCATGTGCAAGTTCTTTTAAATGTCACTTATTTTGCTGGATCTGAGTGAAGTAAGGCCCTTTGACAGCCTAGTATCTCAGTGCCTGCCAGTGTTTCCAAGCAGAGTTTCTAGATGGTGTCTTCACAGAGGAGAGTCACTTGCGTTCAGCCAGAACCCAGGGAGATTCGCGGTCGGCCTGAGCAGTTGCGGTGCCGTGAGGGGGCTTTACTGCCGCCCCCGCTCTGCCCAGCCACACTTAGCCACGGTCACTCACCTCCGAATGTATGTCCGTGGCGCAGGGGCGCAGGAACCCCTGGCCCTCCCGGAGACCCGATGACCCCGCCCGCACTCCGCACAGGCAGCGAGAACCCATCATTTCTTGTCTGACTCCTCTGTGGCCTGAGACGAGCACGGCTTAGGAAAGCCGTGCGTTATTCCTCTTTTGATTCTTAAGTTCCTTCTGTTTTCTGGACATGTGACCACCAGCAAGAGCAAGGATCCCAGAGGTTTGGTATAGTGGGAGAGCGGAAGCTGTTTACAGGCGTTCCCTTCACGCCACGACCCTGCCGGGAGGCCTCCTCCTAGCCTGCCTGTCGTTGGATGGCCGCAGACGCCCAGCCTTAGGGGGCAGGGATACCCGCCTGACTTTGTAGCCCTTTGTCCTGGCTCCTGTTGGCATTAGTCAAGTCCAGCGGGTGATGGCAGCACCCAGACTTCACCCCCAAGGCAGGGGAGGAAGCCCGGGTTGCAAGCTCTGCTTCCTTGCCGCTCCGGTCACGCCCTCCACTGCCCCCTGACTTACCGGCCTCGGCCTCCTTTGTCACCGCTCACGTTGTGCACAAGTTCCCTGCTTGCCCGAACGGCGTGAACGCAGGCCCTTCAGAGCAGCAGTGTCAGGCTCCTGGCCGTCCCTTCAAGCCGGAGAGGATGCTGGAAGGTGCTGGAGAGGATGTCTAAGCTGGGACCGTGCGGAGACAGACGGTGGGAGGGGGTGGGTGGCGTACTGCTGAGGCGCTTCCTCCGCTCCCCTTACAACAGCTGGAAGGGAATGTTGGAACGAAACGTTGGCCTGAGTTAGGTCAGCAGGCAAACGGGACTCCCCGCGAGCCGGTCACCCCGCTCCACTCCCCGTGTTTCCGACCAGCGTTGTGCGAGTCTGCAGAGGGTGAGCGGGTGCGGCGGGATCACGTTCCATCGAAGTCACGATGATTGATTTTCCACAAAGCGGCGAGTTTGATCCAGCTGACAGCTTTTTCGTTCCAGACAGGTGCCGTGAGAAACGGCATCGGGATGTCGCGGGGAGGGGGCAGGTGCCGTGCTGTATTCTGTCTGCTGCTCTATCTGGGGGCCACGCGGCGTCTGCGCACATAGTGGAGGGCAAGGGGCATCAGTACCGAACAGAGTAACCTTGTTTCTACGACATCCATAACTGTCAACCAGGCTCTAGTATCTCCGGACGGTGATCGGTCAAGCCATTTTCATAGAACAATTCTGTTTTTATTCACTTTCTGGTAACTTCCGTAGGCCCTGACTCAAGGACTTAGCGTCGTGTCTCATGTACATCTTTTCTTAAATGTTCTCTGCCATTTCTGGAATTGTCCTTGGTTTTTCCTTAGCTCATAGATCATAGATGCAGAAATATTATAGTATTTAAGGCATCCGCATCAAGCATCAGATGGCTTTGCATCCAGAAAAACATTTAACGATAACTCCGTTTGAAGCACCACGCATGTGTAACATGGCTCTATAAAATATAATAAACGCATAACGTTGTTAAGCTTTTCAATGCCTGTGGTTCTCGTTTGTCCCCCAGTCCTCCAAGCCGCCTCTCCCCGAGTCTCCTTACACGGGAAACCTGGCCACAAGCTGCCTGGGGTGGCTCCTCGTGGGTTTCCTTCCGGCATGGAAACGGAAACGCGCAGGATTCCACTCGTGCTGGCGAGAACTGCTTCCTGAACATCTCCCCGCTCCGAGATGGGCTGAGGGGCCAGAGTTTTCATGAAGAGCCCACCTGCTTTTCAGAAAGCACAGCACGGCCAAATGACATTCTCATGGCCCACTGATGCCCAGTGGCAGTTCTGGGAGCTCCGGTGCCTAAAAGAAGGGCTTACTAACTGGGATAAGACTTAACAGCCTGATAAACTATACCCCGAGAGCTCCTGAGGGTTTGGCTAAAAGCAAAATGCAGAGGAGCGTCCTGCTCTGTCCTGGCTGGGGCCCTGGTGTTTTGGTGTACTGATCAAGGAGATTCATGTGACTTTCCCTCCTTTTTGCTAATGATGGAAGGGGCTGCTGACAGAATGTTGCTGAGGTGGCGAGTCCCAGGCCCGCGTGAGGCCCAGAACTGCTGAGCGAAGGCTTGAGGTAGAGCTGAGCTGAGGGGCGGCCGTGGTCAAAGATCGAGTGTGCATTTCTGGGTTTTAGATGGGAAGGAAGCGAGGTCATGGAGGGCTGTGGAATTGCTTCCGTGGGCACCGCGGCCTAGCGGTGAGGCCAGCGTCCCTCCTTTGCCCTTGTCCCTATCTCCAGCTGGCTGTGGGGACATTGGTTTAGAACCTGACTTGCCCAGGACCATGCTCGGCACGGTGAGCATTGTTTCATTTTCTCCTCCAAACTGCTCTGGGAGGAGCTCTGCAGCACAGCCCCATGTCGTGGTCGAGGGTCACTGGCAAAGGTCCCGGCAGTCGGGATTCAAAACCCAGTCCCGCCTGCCTTCCTCCTGCCACTGGGCCCGCTGCCTGAGTGGATCTCCGACCCCTTACGAAGAAGCCGCGGTCCCTATTTAGGGGGCAGTACCATACCCGCCCTGCCCAGAGTCTTAGAGGGCATTCCTGGCCTTGGAAGCTGGCTCCTGGGGCTGCTCACGAGTGGCCAACAGGCCCCCTTATTCTGGTTCCCGGCTGCTCCTCTCCAGCTTCCTGCAGTCACTACTGAGCCAGTCTCCTAGCTGGGGCTCTCACCACCCCACCTGAACCTGCAGTGGCTCCCCTCTTCCTGCAGAACAAAATCCAAAGCTTTCCACCTATGCTCAAAGCTAAGCCCCAGCCCTGACCTACTTTTCCAACCTCTCTCTCCCACCACTCTTCACCTTCCCCTTGCAGTTTTTCATTTCCAAAGCTTCCCCTGCGCTGGAACTCCCAGGTTCGCTCATTCGTGCAACAACAGTCCGGAGGGCGAGCTGTGTGTCAGGCGGGGTTTTTTTCTGTGCTAATGGAACTTGCATTACAGCTAGCGGGGCGGTGGCAGGGCGGGCTCTGAGGAAGCTTGCGCCTAGCTGATAGTGACCTGGATCGAGCGCCCCCACCCCTTCCATCATCCGCTACATGTTGCTTATGTACTAGTCCCCATGAGTCCCAGGAGCTGGTGGCCAGAGCCCCTCTCCGGCCCTGGCGGGGCGGGGGGACTGCCCATCCTCCCCTCCCCACCGCCCCCTGCCTGGCCTTGGCAAATTCCTTGTCGCCTCTGCCCTGCCCTCCCTCCCGGGCTGCTGGGCCGCAGGGCCCAAGGGTTCCTCGCTGTGCGCCTCCACCTCCGGCCGCGGGGGGCGCTGTGCCCGGCCGCTCTCCCGCCCCGCGGAGAGGGGTGGGGCCAGGTGCGCGTGCGCGCGGCGCTGGCTGCCCGGGGGCCCGGAAAGCCAGCCCTGCTGGGAAGCCGGGGGATTTCCGGAGCCCGCTGGGGCGGGGACGCTTAGGGTCCCCTCGTGGGCGGCAGCGCCTGTCGGGGGCTCGAGCACGGCTGGGGGGAGGGGCCGGGGAGGGGGGTGCGCAGCCCCAAGTGCAGATGACCTTGTGCAGATGGGCCGCCGGGGCTTCGTCTTCCTCGGCGCGGGCTGCGGGGCCTTCTCCCTTGGGAGGGCAGCCCGGGCGGCCGCGGGAGGCCGCAGGGCAGGGGAGCCACTCCGGGAGGACTCCTGGTGCACCCCCCAGACCGGAGGGGCCGGGGGAAGAGGCCCCAGGCAGCCGACCACTCCCGTGTCCCGGGGAGAGTCAGAGCCCGGTGTCGCGGAGGGTGGGGGAGGGGCGGCCCAGGCCGGGGGAGGCGGGGGGGGGGGGGGCTTCTGTGAAGCGGGTTGGGAGGAAGCTGCGGGAAGCCCTCCAGGGCCCGCCGCTTTTCTCGTCCACCCTCGTCTGACAGGCCCCCTCAGCAGCCCGCTTCCACGCCCAGATCCCCCTCCGCTCCCCGCTCTGCCGAGTCACCCGCTCTGGTGCGGTCACTGGCCCCCACCCATCGTCCCTGGGGACCTCAACATCCGTCCTCAGGGATGGTGCATCGCCTAGCCAGGCTGCTTCCCGGCCTCCTTATGGTGACCCCGCCCCAGCCTGCCACCGCCACAGGGGCTCCCAAACCTTGTTTTCGCGGACACCTGCCCACTCCGGTCTCTGTCCTGGGGTCCCGCTCGGCCCCTCCTGCCCTCCCCAGGGTCGAGCCCCAGCCTCTCCGCCTGGGCGCCCCTGGCCCGATACCTTCACCACCTGGCCCCTCCAAGCCCCGTGTCCTGGCTTCATTCCCTCCTACGTTCTCGCCTTCCCTTGTCCCTCTTTCACTTGCCTGGCAGACCCCAAGCTGGCCCTGTACTCAGGAGCCTCTCGGCCGTCCGTCAGCCACCCGCCACGCAGGAGTCCACTCCTTACCTCGCCCTTTCTTCACACCCCCTGGCCCAGCACATCCCCCCATGTGTGCACCCTGTCTTGTGTCCCCGCTGTAGTCAGCCCCCCCTCCCGTGCTGCCCAAACCTGCCTGGACGCCCCCAGGGAAGCTTTCAGGCTCTGCCAACCCTGGAGAGCCACCCAGTGGTGACACCTGGAGGGGGCTCCAGGGATGAGAGGGTGTGGGGGAGGGGTGTGGTCATGCAGACTGATGGTTACAGCCTGAGTGAGGCCAGGTGGCCTGGGAGAGTGTGGCCAGGGCAGGGTGGGAGCCAGTGTCCCCGCGGGCTGAGCTCCCAGCAGCCACTGGGCCGCCTCAGAAAGGGAGCAGAGACCAAGGGGCACACGGGCTGGGTGGGCCGTGGCCCTGTCCAAGGTTCCTGCCCCTCTGGGGCCTGACCCGCCGCTCCAGGGTGTCCGTCGCCTGCAGCCACAGAACTTGGTGAGTGGACCAGCAGGAGCCCAGGGAGCCAGCCGAGGCTGGTCCTGGCTCTTGTGACAGTCCCCACGGCAGGGTGGAGGATGGCCCGGCGGGTCCCCGGCCAGGCCTGGGGCAGGGGTGTGAGGAGGGCCGAGTGAACTCTGACAGGGCTGTCCCCCACTGGCTTCCGCTGCAGATGGAGGTCTGTTGGCGGCAGTGGAGGGTGTGAGAGCTGTCGTCACGTCCCAGAACCTGCCGGCTACAGGGTGGCTGAGGAGGCCCCGTTCTGGGACGAGGGGCTCTTGATGTACGAGTGCCGCTGAATAACTCCGTGGAAGTGGCCAGTGAGAGGGGGGTGAGGGAGACGACGCCGCCCTCGGTGCACCTGGGGCCCGCAGGGAGGAAAAAAGAGCAGGGGACACGTGTGAGCGCCAGAGGGGGTGGCCGACACCTCCTCGCCACGCCTGGAGGAACGCTTGCACTGGAGAAACGGGGAAACCGTCTGTCGGGTTGACCCAGTCTCCCTCAAACTGCCACGGGGGCTTCGTGCATCATCATCCCTTCCTGAGTGGTCCTGCCTGCCTTTCGGAGCCCTCCCTTCCCCGCCCTGAGGTGCCCTTTGGCTCAGGCACCCCCAGCTCAGCCCTCCCCGTCTTGCCCCTGTCGCCTGCTCGCCTCACAGCCTCCCGCGGGGTCTCTAAGGCATAACTCTGAGCCTATCACTCCCCTGGGTAAAACCAGCCGGCTCCTGGCCGTGGCCGTGACGCACGACAGAGAACCCAAGGAAGAGTGTGGGACTGGCCTTCCGGAGACCAGGCTGGCCCTGCCTCTGCAGGCCTCCCATCCCCATTTCCCCGGGGAGAGGCGGGCAGGGTCGGAAGTCACGGGATGTGCCACGGTGCATTTGTCCCTTTTACAAACCTTTCTCAGAAACCCCAGCCGCTGCTTTCATTTCGCTGACCAGATAGATCTGGGACACGGGGCCGCCTCTGGCTGCGAGGCCAGACACACTGAGGCCCAGAGCAAATCGTGTCCCATTAGAAAAGGGCAGGTCGGCCATTAGGGAGGCACCCAGGAGGCTCAGCCCTGCTACGTGACTCGGCCCGGTGGCCCTCTCCAGCCTCCTCACTGCCGCAGCGAGCCACGCTGCTCCTCCTTCTGCCTCTCTCCCCCCTCTGCCCGAAGGCCTCGGTTACACCTGCTCCCTCAGCTCCAGCCCCACTGTCCCCTCCGTGGCCCGGTAGGCTGCTGCTCTGCTGAGACTTCAGGCATCTCCAGGGGACTCTCCCGAGCCCAGCAGGATAGACAGGAGCGTTTCTCCGGTGAAATGCCGCGCAGCTGTTAACAAAAACGGGGCCAATTCGAGCACACTGATAAGGGAAAGGTCTCTGTTTGTGAGTTGAACTGTGTCCCCCAAAAAGAGATGTCGAAGTCCTCAGCCTCAGTCTTTGCTGATGTTGTTAGCCAAAGTGAGGTCCTGCTGGGGTAGGGTGGGCCCACAGGCCAATGACGGTGCCCTTCTAGCAAGAGAAGACAGAGAGGCCCAGGGGGACGGCCACGCGAAGACAGAGGTTGGAGCAGTGTGTCCACAAGCCGAGGGTCACCAGCCACCACCAGGCAAGGAGGGATGCTCCCTCAGAACCTCCAGAAGGAAGCTCACTGCTGCCACAGGATCCCAGACTTCTGGCCTCCGAACTTGGAGAGAATAAACGTCA